GCGGGGCAGGACTTCTACTGATCTCTCTAGATAAAGAAAGATTCGAATACGCACTACGTTTCAGTTTTCATGTCCAACAACGAATTTGAATATGAAACCTTGCTAGCAGGATTAAAGGTGGCCAAGTACATTGGGGTCAGGAACATACTGATATTCAATGATTCACAACTGATTGTGAGTTAGGTAAAAGAAGAGTTTCGGGCTAGAGAACCACGAATGGTGAAATACCTTTCTCGGGTAAAAAACCAGCTCGGTCAGTTCTCAAAATTTGAGCTTCGACAAATCCCTCGTACCAAAAACATCAACGCAGACGAGTTAGCTCGACTAGCTACAGCTTATGAAACCGACCGGGGAAGAACTATGTGCGTCCAAATTTTACCCGAGTCGAGCATAGTAGCTTAGGAAACAATCGATATGGACGAGCAAGGGCGATTGGAAGAAAACTGGATGAGCCCTTTGATCAAGTATTTAAAGGATGGGATTCTGTCGAATGAAAGGATAGAGGGCCAACAGCTACAACGACGAGCTGCTAGATATATAATTAAAGATGAAAGTCTGTACAAAAGAGGCTACTCGTTACCACTCTTAAAATGCTTAACACCCGATGAAGCTGACTATGTCATGAGAGAAATAAATGAGGATGTTTGTGGGAATCATTCCGGAGCACGATCCCTAAGCCACAAAATAGTTCGACAAGGATATTATTGGCCGACCATGCTAAAAGACACGACGCAATTCACCAAAAAATGTGATAAATGTCAACGGTTTGCAACAGTCTCTAGGCAACCACCAGAGCCTTTAACAAGCAGAGTGAGTCCTTGACTCTTTGCCCAATGGGGAATAGACCTTATAGGACCCCTCCCGCTAGAAAAAGGCAAGACCAAATTTGCAGTGATAGCGGTCAACTATTTCACCAACTGGGCCGAAGCCAAAGCCTAGCTACAATTATTGAGAAAAAGATCACCGACTTTATCTGGATGAATATAATTTGCCGCTTTGGAATACCATGCACCATTATCAGTGATAATGGAAAGCAGTTCGACAATGCTGCCTTACGAGAATTTTGTAAGGAGCTGAGCATTAAGCACATCCGTTCTTCGCCAGCACACCCGTAAGCTAATAGGCAGGTCGAGGCGGTCAACAAAATCATCAAAAGAACTATAAAAACCAGACTGGAAAAACTCAAAGGATTATGGGCAGAAGAACTACCCAATGCATTGTGGGCATACAGAACAACATTCTGTACGTCGACAAGAGAGACACCATTCTCACTATCATTTGGCTCCGAGGCAATAGTGCCGGTGGAGATTGGTCTCCCTCCCCTAAGGGTGGAGCAGTTCAGACTACTTGACAACAATGAATCTTTGTAGCTCAACCTCGACCTGTTAGAGGAACATCGAGAAACAGCACGACTACGAACAACTGAGTACAAGAATCAGATAGCTTGATACTACAATCCGGAGGTTAAGAAACACGACTTTAAAGAAGGTGATCTAGTTTTAAGAAAGACAATGCCAAATACTAAAGATTTAACTAGTGGGGCATTCAGACCAACATGGGAAGGCCCATACAAAGTCACTAAAGTAGTTCGAACAGGCACCTACACCCTGGAAGACCAACACGGGAAAGCCTTATTACACCCATGGAATGCTCAGCACCTCAAAAGATACTACCAATAGTTCGACACATTTACTTTACGCTCTGAGCCTCCTTTTATCTTAGTTATTTTATTGTACTCTCCGACAAGACGATTTTCTTACTAAGAGTCTTCGACATCTGGCATATGTACTTGAGTTTTTATATTCGTTCTCCAGCAAGAGGGTCATTGTGTGAAAATATCTACGACCAGTCAAGAAACTCAGGATTGGGACAGACCTAGAAGCAAGCAAAACTGGCTAAAGGTCGATAACAGCTCAGCATGGTCAAAACTAAAGCATGGAAGTACTGGATAAAAAACGAGCCAAACGAGTTGGAACTCCGATAATGTCGATACTAGCCCTGCTAAAGTTAGATCACAGGGCCAAAGGAGTAAAAACGGAACCAGTATTAATAACCAATGTGAATTATGTTATGAAATGATCTCGTGGTAGCAACAAGCGACAAATACTCTCAAAACAAAAATCTTGGCACAGTTTTTCGTCTTCTGTTTTGAGAGTAGGGGGCCATTGTTATAGGGACCAAAACGGTCCAAACGAGGCGAGAGGTCGGACCATTAAAGAAGAAATGTGCCCGAGATCATCAACCTCAGCCGACCCAACATCCCGACACTGATCTAGTGCCACGGCGCCAAGCACAGCGCCTCGACGTCGAGCAGTTCTCGACCCCCGACGGAGAACTATAACGGCCCACCCGACCTTTTCACAGTATTCTCGTTTTGTAATTACGACCGTTTCGCAGTTACGCTTGTAACAGGTCCGAAGATCGAGATTCGACGAGAATTCCTATAGGACTGATATAAGAGGAAGGGGGACCGAACCCTGGTGAGATGCTCTGAAAATCCGACATCTATATTTTATTTCTCCGATTATTCTGACTTAGGCAACGGAGCCCGTGTGACAGAAGTCACACCGGTTTAGATCTTGGTTTGTTCGGTTTTGCAGGTGTTTGGTTCTTGATCATCAAGTTTGGTGCGTATTGGAGATAAGAACCTGATTGGTCGAAATTCATGCATCAACATATAATTATGATATCTATTGAACTTCTAACATGACTTGCCACTGATACACGTATGATAACCATTGATTTATCATGCCGATACAATATTTATATATCTATGATATATACTTGATATGTTTCTAATTTACTATTGATATACAAATAATATACCACTGATATAAATTCTTATATATGATTATATGATTTACTACTAATATAACATTTATATATATGTGATATATACTTGATATGTCTCTAATTTACCATTGATATATAAATGACATACTATTGATATAAATGTGATATCTACTGATATAACTTCTTATATATGATTATATGATTTACCACTAATATAACACTGATATATATTTGATATATACTTAATATGCTTCTAATTTATCATTGATATAACCATGATTTCTACAAATATAACTATGATACATGTGTGTTGATATAATACTATTATATCCAATATTTTCTCATATGAAAACAATGGTGAAAACAAATTTTGAAATGCAAAGTTATTGAATAAAAGGTTTAGATGGATCATGCACGTCCAAAAAAAAACAAATTAAAAATCAGATATACTTTATAAATTTAAAAGGTTTATATCCCTTATCTTTAGTATCTAATTAATATTAATATATAATAAATAGTAGTGATATATTACTCAATATTATTGATAATATTAGTATATCAACCAACAAATTGCAATGATAAACTAGAATTTAAACAACTGATATACCTTATATTTAGTATATCAGTTGCAAATATTTTAGTATATCATAAATTTTAGGTAGATCATATATATATATATGTATACTAGAGAGGTATAATACATACATCTAATAATGTATATCATGGGTACATCTGATAATGTATATCAGAAGTATCTCGGATGTATATCCGAAGTATATCACGAAGGGATCGAATCCCGCAGCGGAAGCGTGCGAACGCGTGTGCTTCGATCTTGTCTTAAAATTACAACAAAGAAAAGACATATAAGCATGAATAGAAGAAGGTTAGTGATACATACCTTTAAAGACACATCTTCAATGTAGACACCAACGCCACCACAAAGTCTTCATCGCTATCCACGGGATATTAAGAACTCGGTTTGTGGGAACCGTCTTAAAATTGAGAAAGGGATCGAGACATTGAGAGAGAGGTTGTTTGCTAGAGTTTATGAAACTCATACAATTGATGATCGGGAGATAACGGAAGAGGATAACCTCCTTTTTATAAGGGAGGAAGAGTGGGTGGGGAAGTATGACTTCCCCCTCACCATTTCCCCACTTCTCACCATTAATGGTGGGAAGTGGGAGCTCCAGTTTCCTCTTTTTTCTCTTTTTTATTTTATTATTTAATTTAGGGTAATTGTGATGGGCAACAAAAATAATTTATGTATTTCAAAAAAATATCACCAACTTTTCAAAATTTCAAATATAGTAAAATATTTGAATTTTTATTTTCGGATTTTTTATTATTTCGATTTTACCCTTATGATATCTGATATATATCCAATATATATCTGTATCTGATATATCTCCAATTTATATATGTATCTGATATACATCAAATCTATATTTGATATACATATAATGTACCTCTGATATATTTTCGATATACATTATCAGATGTACCCATGATATACATTATCAGATGTATGTATTATACCTCTAATATATATAATTGATACCTCTAATTTATGATATACTAAATATATTTGCAAGTGATATACTAAATATAAGGTATATCAAATGTTTAATTTTCAGTGGTATATCAGCTGTTATAGATTCTAGTTTACCATTGCAATTTGTTGATTAATATACTAATATTATTAAAAATGTTGATTACTATATCACTACCATTTATTCAATATTAATCAATTAGATACTAAATATAAGGAATATCAGCTGTTTAAATTTATAAAGTATATCATATTGTTAACTTTTTTTTTTTTTGATGTACATGATCCACATAAATCTTTTATACAATAACTTTATATTTTAATTTTTTTTGCACCATTGTTTTCATATAAAAAAATAGTAGATATAATAGTATTATATCAACACACATGTATCATTGTTATATTAGTAAATATCATGGTTATATAAGAGGTATATCAGTGGTAAATTAGAAGCATATTAAGTATATATCAAATATATATAAGTGTAATATTAGTGGTAAATCATATAATCATATATAAGAAGTTATATCAGTGGTATATCATTTGTATATCAATGGTAAATTAGAGACATATCAAGTATATATCACAGATATATAAATGTTGTATCGGTGTGGTAAATCAATGATTATCATACGTATATCAATGGTAAGCCATGTTAGAAGTTCATGTCCTTCTTCTTATGTTTCAAGTGGTTGCRATAATTACTCCAGGAAGGAGGGAATTTCTCGAGCAACACATTGGCCTGAAGAATCTCGCACATCTTCGTGCCTTCAGACAACACACTTGCCACCAGGTTTTCGTACTCATGAACCTGATCCATCACCGGTTTGTCGTCCGACATTTGAAATTGAAGCCATTTACCAACGACGTACTTCCTTCTGCCTGCGTCGTCCCCACCATATCTAGATTCTAACGTGTCCCAAATGACCTTTGCAGATTTTTGGACTACAAAGAGATCAAAGAGAGAGTCGTTCATATGGTTGAGAAGATGCCCACGGACCGTTTTGTTGTCTTTCTCGAATTTGTCAGCTTCGATGGYAGTAGACGTCYCGGGAACAGCAGCAGMAACTGAAACGGTGGCAGCAGCAAYGGCAGGCGGATCAGTGACGRTTGCGGTGACKGTAGYTGCAGTTACAGCAGCTGCAGCGGTAGTGGTGGCAGCGGTAGTAACGGCGGCGGGCTGAGCAGCAGTGATAATGTAGTCGATCTCCAACTGCTCAAAGAAGATCAATAACTTCTGTGACCATTGGCGATAGTTGGATCCGTCGAGTGGTTCCAATTTTGACAAGTCCGATAGGACCTTCCCAGATCGGATAGCAGCCATTAGTAGGATTTTGCTTTCAACTGTTGGACAATAAAGGACAAAATAGGAACCACGAGATTGATTCCACTCCTATTCCGACGAGTGCACGTCTGAATTGGAGGTTGTGTTAACCTTGGGGAGCATACCGGCAGTGGTTCCGCCCACGGCACAACGTTTTTTACCTCCCGGTTCCTATTTTGTCCTTTATTGTCCAACAATTAATAATATTCCATTTCATGATAACAACTTTTAGAGATAAAAGATGCTAGCATGTTGAGTTGTGGAGCCTAATAATAGTTAAATAAACTCAATTATTCATCTAATTTATGCGTGAAATATGTCTCCACATACAAGCTGTTGTAAACACTTTTGTAGTTTTCTCTTCATCATTCTAAATGAATATTTATTATGCACCCTAGACCCATGATATGATATTTATTTGGCATTATATCTTAGGCTTAGTTGGGTTTTATGGCCTATTCGAGTTCAATATATAAATGATAATCTTAGAAATGATGACTAAACAAAATTGAGTGTTAATCAATCTAAAGATCTTTGTTAGGTTAATATTGTTGGGGTCGATGAATCCAAATTATGAGGAAGATTTATTAAAAGGTCGTTTTTGAAGCTCAAATTGAAGGACATTGAGAAAKGGAACAAAGGAGCATATTTGGATATTGAATGAATGTTTTTTTTTATTTGGATATTGAAGCAACCCAGATTCAGAGCCAACCAACAGCGGTTACAGAAACCGAACCTTCTGCTTCTGCCTTCTCTTACTAATCTAACATCTCTCTCAATATTTTTGTTTTACGCTAACTCTTCAAAATATTAGCACTTCAATTCTACAATTTCTGTAACTTCACCCTATATTTACCATACTTTAGATAAAATATATATATATATATATATATTTATTTATTTATTTTAAATATCACAGTTAAAATTTTTACATATATAAATTACTGATTACTATATGATTATGTCAAAATTTGGCCAAGTGTCGTGGAGCGACGAGAGCTCCACTCTAGCGAGCTATTGCTAAGCGAGCTAGGGAGGGGAGGTTTTCCTGGATAGTTGATGCGCAGAGCGAGCATGAGAGGGAAGACCTGCAAAAATAAGTAGAGCTCTCCAACGTTCAAGCTGTTAGTTTTAGGTACGTTACGGGCAAATCAGCTTCAGACAAATTTGCATATCTGATTGAGTGGAGTGACTGTGTATTTATAGGGGATGAAATGGTTGGTTACCTATCCTATTTGTCTATTCTACTATGTGTTACGGCCAAGTGCCGGATTTACCATGCTGTGTAACTCGACCTTAGGGTTCGCATAAGAGCCCAAGGCTTCTTACCCTACCTGTCA